AGATAAGTACAATATGAGAGGATATGAGAAATTATATAATGATTTAGACTATATATATGATTAGTATAGATTAGGTATATATAGAGAGTAGATTATAATTATATATATATATAGATATTATAATATAATTAGTATGATCTATATTATATTATATTATAATTATATTATAGATCTATATATATATATATAGATTAATATATATATATAAATTATATTGATTATTATAATATATGTAGGATAATAGTATATGTATGTTATTAATCTATGTAGTATATATATAGATGTATGTATATATATATATGTATGTATATATATATAGTGGTATATATAATATATTGTAGGTATATATATGGATATAGTATATATAGGAATTTAAGAATAGGGAATGGTAAGTATATGGGGATGTAGATATAGGTATAGATAGGTATGTAGAGGTATAGAGATGTAATGTAGAGGATAGGGATATGTATAGGAGATGTATAGTATAGATCGATAATATATACTATCGATATATGTCTATGTATAGGTATATGGAATGTAGATGTATAGGTAAGAGGTAGAGGAGAATAGATATAGATTACGAGGGATGTAGGTAGAATAATATGGATGGAGAGAATATATATCGAGATAGTAAATAGATATTAGACATATATATAGACATAATATATACATATATAGTAGCTATATATGTAGATATAGATATATAGATATGACTAGTAATAGAATATATGTATGAGAGATAGGTAGATAGATATATATAATATATATAGATAATATAGAGATAGAGAGAGAGTAGGGAGTATATAGATATGAAGATAGATAGATATGTATAATGTATGTATATATATGTAATATTGTAGGAGATATGTAGGGTATATGGAGTGGAGCGAGGTAATGGATATGGTGGAGGAATAGGGATGGTATAGAGGAGTAGATAGATGTATATAGTAAGGAGAGCGAGGGAGAGATAGAGAGAAGGAGAGATATTATAGAGATATATGATATACAGATATACATAGTAGAGATAGACATATAGACATATATAGAGAACAGAGAGACATAGAGAGATATACAGATGGAAAGGTGAACCAAAAAAGAGATATAGAGATCAGTAAGTGACAGAGAGAGAGAGACAGAGAGATAGAGAGATAGTAGACAGATAAGAGAGAGAGATACAGATAGAGAGAGAGAGAGATAGAGAGAAGAGAGATAAGAGAGAGACAGACAGAAGAGAGAGAGAGAGATAGACACAAGAGAGAGAGAGAAGGTAGATACACAGAATAAGAGACAAGGACAGAGAAGAAGAGAAGAGATATATATATAATATAGATATATTATATAATAGACACACATATATAGCGATATATATAGAGATATATAGAGATAGATATATATATATAAGAGATATATACAATAGATCGAGAGAGCTATATATATATAGCTATATAAATATATATATATTGATAACATAAGAGACACATAATCTGAGAATATATATATAGACATAGATAGATATATAGAGATAGAGAGAGCTATACACAATATATATATATACAGAGATAGATATATAGACATAGAGCTATAGAAGTAAGATATATATAGATATAACAGAATAGAGATGATGATACATGATATATATTAAGATGTAGAGAGATATATACGAAGATAGATATAGAGAGATAGAGATAATATATTTTTTATACAGAGAGATTAGATAAGATAGATATATAGACATAGTAGTAGAGATAGAGAGATATAAGGAAGCTAGATGAGATAAGATAGTAGAGATATATAGACAGAGTATAGATAGATACATAGTATATATTAGACAGATATAAGTAGACATATAGAGGACACAGAGAGTAGAGAAGTACAGAGATAGAGACAAGAGACTATATATACATATATATAGAGATATATATATATAGATATAATATATATATATATTCTATAATATAGACAAGATATATACATATATACAAGATAGAGACATAGAATAACATAGATAGATACATACATATATATATAGACATAATAATACATATATAGATATATAGATATATATCTTTATACGAAGTACATATATAGATAACATATATATTATACAGATATATATACAGAGAGATATACATAGATAGTATAGAGATAGATATATAGTATATATACATTATATAGAGACATATAGAGTACACTATATATACATATAATATATATAATATATAGATATATATATATATATATATAAATATATATATACAGATATAATACAATATATATATGTATATATATATAGGAATAATATATATGTATATTATATATATGTATAATATAGATGTAATGTATAGTATTGTATATGTATATGTATAGGTATATGTATATATATAGGTATATATTATATGGTATATATAAGTATATACATTATAAAAGAGACATAATACATATACATATACATTGACATTAACAGTTACATTAAGTAACATATTACACTTACATAGAATAG